CAACAACAACAACAACAACAACAACAACAACAACAACAACAACAACAGCAACAGCAGCAGCAGCAATCGATAATGAATTCACAAGGTCAACAACAACAACAAATGTACATGCAATCTCAACAAACACCAATGAATGTAATACCTCAACAACAGCAATTACCACCTCAAACATCATATACAATGTCAGCACCACAACAATCATCAATGATGAATATTAAACAAGAACCACAAATTCCTTTATCTAATATTCAATCAAGACCACCGCAACAAAATTTTTCAATACAACAACAACAACAACAACAAATCAAACAAGAATTAATGGCACCACCGATACAACAACAGCAATCTGGACTTCAAGTTCAACAAATGCGAACACAACAACAACAATTGCCACCTCCACCACCACCGCCACCACAATATATACAACAACAACAGCAGCAAACATCAGTTTTACCTTCTCAACCTACAGCAAATGTATCTCAACAACGTACTCTTGCTCAGGTTAGTTTTTTTTTTCTAGAAGAAAATAAATATAACTATATAAGTTTTACTGTATAGCATCTTCAACAAGTACGTCAACAAAATCAACTTAATCAACAACAAGATTCATCTAATTCTTCTCAATTATCACAACAACAGCAACAACAACAACAACAACAACAACAACCAACTAATTCTACAGTACTACCACAATCATCATCATCATCATCATCTGGTAGTCAAGATGAAAGTAAATATTTTTGAAAATTTTTTTGTTAATAATTCTCATTATTATTAATTTAGTTCTTCAACATATTCTTACTAGTCCAAATCCACCTAAACAACCACCGACTGTTGCTCAAGTTAGACTACGTACCGTATGTAAAAAATAAATAAATAAAAAGACAAATTCAAATAAAATTATCATTTTATAGATGAATCGAAATGCTCGTAATCAAGCAGTATCAATTAATCAAGCCGTACAACAACAACAACAACAACAACAACAACAACCACCACCAAGTACAATAGCATCGTAAGTCAAAATCTTGATTTATCATTAATAACTTTTTACTTTGCAGAGGGTCGGATTCAATGATGTCTTCTAGTAGTAATAATGCTATTCAATCACCTCATTCTCATCCTGGTATGATGCAACAACAACAACAAACACCTATAGGACCACCTGGTCAAAGTCCATTAGCACGTTATATGATGGCTCAATCACCACAAGGTGGTGTCTATCGTCCACCAATGTCACCAATGAATATGATAAGTAAGAAAGAATCAAAATTATATATATATATATATATACGAACATTAAAACAATTCTATAGATTATACTGGTAGTCCAACAATGATTGATGAAGAAATGCATTTTCTATTTAAATTTTTTACTGAACGTATTCAATATTTAACTCGAATAATTGCACGATGTCAACAAGAAGGTACAAATGAAAAAATACATGTTTTTTATGAAACACGATCTAAAACGGAGTGTTAGAAATTTGGACTCGCAGACCATATATCAATAACAGAGAAGCAATCTTCTAGTGATTAGCAATAGTAGTTATATCGTGTTTCATATTTTAAACTCATATGAAATGTACTAATACAACTTAATTTGTTTTTTTTCTCTTAGGTCAATCTGATAAAGTAGCTAAATATCGTCAATTGCATGATCAAATATCTGCTTTTATTCGAAATCTCATTCCTGAACATTTAATGGCTGCACGTCGTCTTAAAGAACATGTTGATCGTATGCTTGGACCAATAATGATGCCACCAATGAATGATATGTCAACAATGTCTCTATCAAATACAAATGGTACTCGTTTAATGACAAATGGAATATTTGAACAATGTCAACGTACAATAGCTGATTATTTAAATAAAGATTCAACATTAAAATATAATATTGCAAAACGATTTTTAGAACCTTTAAGTGAAGTTCTTAATGGTGTACCACATAAGTATGTAAATATTTATAAGAATTTTTCTTTTTTATGATACGTGTAATTAAACAAAAAAAAAAGCTAATTCCGTGATTCTGGCCACTAGGATGAGGACCGAAAGTTACTGTTAGGAAGTCAGATCACGAGTAAGAAAACATTTGTGACTATAATATCTCGCCAAAAAAAAACCCTATTTCACGACAATAAGTAGTTTTAAAAAACTTTCATTGAAAATTCTTCGAATTGAGGAATCCTCGTTTCACCTTATTTCTTCGACCAATGAGGTTCCGGTAGGAAATTCCTCTTAGTCGATCAAATTTCAAGATGGTTTCATCTTTGCCAACTCCGAGAAAGCCGTGATATGGTTTGATTTGTTAAGGCAATGCATTGTTGAATACTCAATGGATAACAGACAATTCTTGCTGAAATGTAACTCTCTGAGAAACCGTTTTCTCCTAACCAATTAGATTTCAGCAAAGATTTTCTCCACTATCATACGTAGAAAACATAGGTTTCTCGGACCATACAAAAAAAAATTCTTGCTTTGATGAATAGTCTTTCCTTGATAAACTCACAGATTCTTCGTGAGATGCTGTGACGAAATTACTAAAGGAAAAAACAGGTGATTTCAAGTGCTTTTATTAATTCCGGATGATTTCATTTCATTCTAATGCTGTAGAATCAGTTGTTTTCCCCGCGATTTAACTGCTATTTATAATAAACTCCTCGCTAGTTTTCAATTCGAAAGAGATTTCAAATCATAAACAGTATACCAGATTATTCGCATCATTATATATTCATGATGTAACAACCTATGTCCTTCGAACCGGCAAAAAATCGTCGGTTAACCGCAGTCAACCCACAATTCCGAATAGAAATCGAAATAATTTGATTTGTAATAAATTGATACTTACGCTGATTCAGTTGTTGGCTCAAGTGTAAAGAGTAAAATTCAATTTATTTCTTTGAATATCAATTATGACGATTAATCACAAGGCATGAGTACAGATTTCTTTTTGGTTCTTGGTGCATATTATAAGAAGACATTAAAAATCAAATTACAACTTTATATTAATGCCTTATAACAAATCGAAAAAAAAACTGAGTCGATAAGCAATTTTCATAGAAACTGAGAGAATACCTCTATGACCTTTACCGATGTGAATATGAATGTAAATAAAATATGGAATGAATTTTGTGGTATCTGGTGTATATGCATGATGCAGCTTGTAATACATGGTTGGAAGAGAAAAGAGAATATAGAATGAAGAGGCACAAAAATAACTTAGTCAAACAAGGAAAAAATATTTTAGATCTGTATTTTACCTGCTGAATATTTATATATGTTAACTACAAAAGCTATGCGTATATTTAAAGAAGAGAGATCTAAGAAATCTTTTTATGGTAACTGATAAATTTTCGATATTACGAATAAGTTCCCGATTATTTGTTTTATTAATTTTTATTACTAAAACTAACTGAATAAAATCGTCGGTTAACTGCAGTTGACTGTTGGTTTCTATAAAAAAAAAAGACGACATGGGAAATATTAATGAGATAGAAAAGAACAACGAATAAAATAAACAAAAATCTCGTACATTTTTTATTTACTTGATCTTCATCTCTGTGGAATCTGACAAGCGAACCTCTGCAGATGTCAAATTGCTTTTCGACCTTTATTTGATTACTAATAGAAAAGTCTATAATGGTTTGATTTTTCAAACCTTCGCTCTTGAGATATCAAAATTTCACTGGATTTTTTCAACAAAAAGCTGTGCTTCCTTCACGTGACCTAAAAGGAAACTACAGTTTTATTATTGAAAAATCCAGTAAAATTTCGATATTTCCAGGACAAAGATTTGGAAAATCAAATCCTTCTAGACTTTTCTATTACTCATTGAATGAAGGTCGAAAAGCGTTTTGACATCTGAAGAGATTTCCTAGTGAATTAAATATTTTTTTTTTGTTTTGTAAATCAAATTTAATAAATTTTTATTTGTAAAACTTTTAGAAGTATACGATTGGATACAGAATCAAAACAAATAGTCGAACCGAATCTATCTTCCACAAATAATCATTCTTCAACATCATTAAGAAATATAATCGAAAGTGAATTTGCTCATTTATCGACAAATACATTTTCTTATGAATTAAAACCTATGCATGATAAAATATTACCTTCATCATCAATTCTTAAAAATAAAGATTCAATTATAAATGATTATGAATTAACATGTCGTCTTACTGAAATAAATATGCCTATAGTACCGCCATTAAAAATGAAATTAACAGTTCAATATCCAAATGAACCACCTGAAATTCTTTCATTAACATCTACAACTATGAATATAACGCCAATTAAATTGGAAAATTCAGGTAAAAATATAAAAATTTAAAATAAGATAATTTTCATTTCTTTTTTGTTTTTGTCTGTCTATTATAGATGGTAATACATTTTTTGAATCAATCTCGCGAAATTTTGTTCATTTTTTATTTAAATTACCAACTCAACATACTGTTACTGATGTTTTAGATATATGGGTAATTATATAATTTTTTCTTTTGTTCTGAATTTTAATATTATATCTTTTATTTTAGCATACTGCCATTCGAAATGCTTCCTTTTCTCAAAATGAATCATAAAAAAAAAAAAAACTACTTTTATACATCTATATGTTTAGTCTGTTTTTTTTTTCTTATTTTTGTTTTTGCTTTGTGTATATATATATATCTATTATTTGAATGTTTACGATTTTTTTTTTCTTCTCATTGCAATTTTATTTGTAATGATATTGAGCCCAAATATATAAAATACAATGTAGTAAAATGATAAGTTTGTTTTGTTTTTGCAAAAATGTTTTATTTGCACGGATGAATTTTTGAAAAAAGTGTTACACCAACAATACGTATACATTGATTACCATTGGTTAATGTACCTTTATATGCTACACGCCAATTTTCAAAAAATATATCTTTTTCAATAATAATATTGATATTTTTAGCATCATCTGGTAGTATTACTGATTTTGTTTGACCACCCCATAATCGACCAGTTTCAGCTAATCCAGGAATACCATTTGCATCAGTATAAAGAACACGAAGACGAGTATTCATTGCAGCACGATTTTGAAGAGTTATCTCAAATCCTAAATATTTATGTTTTTTTTTAAAATGTTAATTAATAGATAGAACAACGAAAGAAATAATTACCAGAATTTGTTTCATTTGATTTTATCGTTGCACGTAATTCCATATATTGTTCTTCATCATCAAAAATTCGACGATCTGTAAGAATAAAAACAAAAAAAAAAAGAAGAATGATATGAATTTGATGTATGATTAATAAATATACTTGAATCAATTTCATCACTTTTTTCATCATATTCATATTGATCTAAGTAAATATACAAAGTATAGGTTAAAATTTTGAATACACTTTGAGTTTATATCTATTCCGATAATATCAAATATAAATATGAGAATAATCGTCATATTTTTATTATTTCTATGGTTTAAATGCTTTTTTTTCTATTGTACTTTTTAATAAATATTGCACAAGAAATTTGAGTTTTACGGATATAGTGCAATTTACTATGATTAGTCCTACCGAAATTTCAGCATGACTTATTTGATAATTAAACATGCAAGAGACGATGTTTTGTGAACTCCGATCTCATAAAATTATTACATGTTAATTTCTCACATAATCAAAAATGACTTAAAATTCTTGTGATTTGAATGATTTTAGTTAGTCAGTGTCTCGGGTTTTTTTGTCTTATTTTTAATTGATACGATCTATAGGAAAATTAACTCGAAAAAAAGAACAATTAAATTCTTTGTTATTAGTTTTTCATATCACAATGATTAATCTTACTATTTCGATTTGTCAAATCAAGTTCTTGTTCATCATCATCAAGTAAATCTAAATTAAATTCTTATTAATTTCAATAATCGAAAAAGATGAATTAATTACCTTGAAGTTGTCGAAATATCGATGATCGTCGTTGAAATCTATTATCGAAACTGGTTACAAACGATATTAACAACAGTAATATAAAACAAGTTTTCATGTTAATTATTTTCTGCTTATCCATCTTTATCAATATTCTATTCTGTACCATAACACTATTTAGCTATTTACCCTTTATATACGCACCATTAAATCACCTATATTTATACGTTAGATAGTTGGTTGCAAATATGTATATATTGCTTTTTTTTCTGCTTCTTCTGTTAGTCAAATAATAAAAAATCCGAGAATGAAAGAAGAAAAAAAACCCTCATTCCGTGCTGCTCGTCTGTATATACAGTTCTGTTTTATCCATAAAATACAGAATAATTTGACAGACTATGTAGGCGTCTATTTGTCAGAAGAAGAAAAAAAAAGTCGGCATGATTGTTGCATGCACGTACGATACCTAACATTAGTTGAGATATGAATAATTTTATATGGTATAATGATTTATGTATTGGACAATATTGTAAAAATTTTTCTAAAAACGACTAGTCCATTGAATGTGTCTTATTTGAAAAAACCAATACTATATAAGACTGAATTCAGAAAAAACATAAAATTTTTGTTAAGTAAATGAAGAGAGGTGCAAGCTAATGCATTACAAACAACATTATAGTATCAAATAAATTTCAAGCTGTTATTTTTTACAGATTAATAATCGTATTCTATCGATGTATTTTCTTGTTCTCTGCGGTCAATTGCATATAAAATAATAGAAAAAATATGGTATTATTTTGCAATGATACCTAGAGACAAAAATTTAAAGTTATTCACGTGTTTGAAGAATCTTTATTTTCTTTTGTAGTAAAGATTATGTCTATTTTTCTGTTATCTTTTATTCTTTTGTAAATATAGATATCTATAAGTTTCATTTATACTGAATATATTAATATGAAATACTTTACAAGAATTATGTTCTTGTTAGTCTTTGCAATCATTCTTGGAGTTAGTCAAAGTTCCGACGACTGTTTTTATGATCCACACAATATAGGTTAGTTCAATCAAATGTACAAAAAACAACAAAAATTTAATTATTGTTTTGATATATCAATAGGGAAAAAATGCCATAATTCAGATCATACTGAGTATGTATGTTGCTTACGTAAGTTATCGAATCATTTCAAAATTCGTATCGAAATTCTTGTTTTTCTTTTTCGTAGCTGATGATCGTTGTCAAAATGGGCAATGTTATTTACTTGATGAAATTTCATCATCGAAATCACTTCCATTGCACACTTCGATTCTTATTGGTATTGGAGTTGCTGCTATTTGTATTGTTTGTTTGGCTGTTGGAGCTTTATATTGGCATCGTCGACAAATTAAAAGTACAGAAAAACGATCGACTCTGTTATCATCTTTTTCTCAACCGACATATGTTTCATCTTTAACGGGTAATTCAGCTGGTGTACGTATACATTCATCTAAATCACAATCAGCATCAGTTAAACCAGGTGTTACTATAGAACTAACTACAACTACTAAACCTTAAAAAAGAAACATATTTCATTTGTTATAATAATAATCACTATAAAGATGTTTTTCTTTCTTTTTTTTCAGTTAGATTTTCCTATATTAAATAAGTCTCGAAGTCAGAAAATATTTTGCAATATTTTAAAACAGAAATGGATCATTTGTTATTATTTGAGACCCATGGACACTATGTAAATGTTATCATTATTTTTTATCTTTTGTTGTTTAAACAAAGTAAAGTAAAAAAAAAAAAGTATTATCATTACTTGTTATATTATAAATAAAAAACAAGCACATTGATATCGACAACATTAAACTAAATTTCTTTTTAATTCAATATGAATAAAAATCAATCGGACTATTACAGTAATATAAAATGAACAGAATGAGACAAAACAAAACTAAAGAAATGATGAGGAATATAAAATGTAAGGACCCGCGCATTCACGTTTTTGTGAGCCCGACAAAAAGTAAAATTTTGAACTCGACCGAGTCCGAGTTCAAACCCGAATTTTGTCTTCACCAATACTTGACACGCTCTGTGGTTTGTTGTTCACTTTTTTATCATTAAATGCTTAATAAATTAAAAGTTTTTGCTTAGTTGATGTATGCTTGATTTAGGAAAATATTTTTTACTCAAAATATATTGCATTTTCTCGTTTTTATACATGTTTGGTTTGATAGCTCGCAGTATAATGTACATTTTTTTAAATATTACACATGAGTGGTGGTTTGTTTCTTTCTCTTATGTGCGATTCAAGTACAACCTGACAAGCTCTATCAAATGGTATAATCAGATTTTCAATAGCTCAAATCATATTCACAAAAACTACTATATATACTGGTTTTCCATCATAGATATTATGAAAATAGTAGTTTAAACTCAACGGCGAGAACGTAGGTGTGAACTATGGATGAAATGATGAGCCTAAGCCAACCCACACAATTACAGCCACATTTGGGACAAAAAAATTGATGTATTTTTTTTGAATTTAATGATGAAAAGTGACATTTTAATTAAAGTAATGCAGTAAATTTCATGTTTGATCAAAAATCATGCAATGGTTTCAATGAAAATGTCTATTTTAATCGACGAATTCGAAATACATCAATGTTTTTGTCCGTTTTATCATTTTAATGCCACTTTTTTTTGATTTTTTTGATTCCCTGGGCAACATCATATAGAACAGGAAAAAATTTACAAAAGATTATTAGATTATTTTTCATTATTCTTAAAATAAAATTTATTCATTCAACTATAATATTGCTCCGAAGTCATTCCTCGACATTGCTCATGAAAAGAATTATGGAACGTGAACAAACTGTTTTGTATTTATTTTTAAAAGTAAATGTGTTCATAAGCAAGATCAATAAGTGGCCTTGAGAACAAAATTGCAGCTGACATTAAGACTCATAAATTTGTCAAACAAAATGTCTGCTCAAATGTGCCAAAAGTACCATGAAGATCATTCAACACAAAAAGTAAATATGCCACCCCTAGCTTTATTATGTTTTATATTTTAACCTGACCTCGTGAAGTAGGACGAAATATCTTTGAAGTCTGAATTTCTATTTACCCGAAAAGGATTGGCAACTGCTTGATATTTTCTACTATATAATTTTGTCATGGTTTATGGTATATTCTGATATTTTTACACCATTCTCAGTATCTTTGTATTCATGGCTTTCAATTAATTTTGAAATTGTGAAGAGCTTGATTTTAATAGAATGTCTTTCATTTTTAGTTTTTTGCAGAAAATCAATTATGAATTCTTTTCTTAGAAATAGACAATGCAAACAAAGAATTTTTTGGCAGTAAACAACAGAAAATAGAGATGATGATATTTATGGTGGGAAACCTATTCGTATTATGGAAGAATATTCCTTTGTAGATGAAGTATCAGTATATTTTTGCCAGAGTAAAAAAAAATAAATGGGTGCAAATAGATATACTGCAATCAAAGATTGACACCTCATAGAAATCCATGTTTGTGTTCAAAAGCTACGAAACTCTGCAAGTCTGTCTTGAAAATAATAAGTAAAAAAATGTAAATGGGTGTTGATTTCATTGTGCGTGTAGTTGAGGCAGCTGACGAGAAGTACTATATCGTTACTCGTACTATTTCTTTTTGTTTAAATATAAATAGCACAATTTTTCGTTTTAAGATGATTTCTTTTTTTTCTATAAAATCTGACAGATTCTTAATAATCTATTTAATGATTTATTTTTAAAAATAATATTTACAGCATAACGAGCACCATATTTTGTCAAATGTGCTCCATCATATGATATTAATTTTCCATCACGAGTAAATAGGGGACATGTTTGATTATGTCCAGTGCATATCATCTTTTGCATTTTAACAAATATTGATTTATCTATTGTTTTTTCTAATAATCTATTGAAATTAATAACTTCTATCTTTAGATATTGATATTGTGTGAATGTGGGTGTATTGGTATAGGTGACAAGAAGATTCACATCTATAACCACAGCCACATCCACACACTCACCCTCGACGAGTATCTGTCGTTATTTGCTCATCACTCACCATATGAATGTGGATGCGGTTGTAGATCGGAATGGCGATTAAAGTGGTGGTGTTTGTTTTTGATGTACGTGTGAAAGAAAGGCTTCCGTTCAACCATACTCCACACCTACATCCAATGCATGAAATTCTTAAAGAAGCTGGAAACTACTGTGGAACCCAAATATGT